ACTATTGACAAAATGGTAGAGCTCAACTTAGGCAGCGAGACAATAATACAAATACCTCCCCGCAGTAATCACCACTTCTCCATTACCACCAATTACTACTACGGTATTACGGTAAAATTTCCGCACAGCCCCATACTAAATTATGCATTCACTTCTTGGATAGAGAAAACAATGACAAAAACAATACATTGCCATTGGGGAAACAGATTTGTTTTACAGTAGTATGGAGCTGTGCGGAAATTTTTACCCAGTATTACCTCGTCCACTAAGCTCTCAGCAACAAAGATATAAGTGTTCTGGAGGAATCCACAGGAAAAGAACTCAGCGCTTTTGGCTTCAGTTTGGTACGGGTTAACATCACCTTCAAGAAAAAACTCTGGTAAGCCATGTGTTAAAGATTAAATATTTTATATTTAGATGAAGAAAGTGATGTTAACATACTGTACAATAAAAATATGACCAAAAAAATATTACGAAATAACAAAGAAATGGATAAAAAACGCTACAATCTTTTAAGCCGGGCAGAACAATTTTTCTAATTCAGTAATTAAAACATTCCGATCGGCACTAAACGTGACTGCCAATTCAAAAGTTGGTTGGGAAGTCCAATAGCACGTAAGACGTGGTGTGTGTGGAGTGCTTGTTCTGTTTAATCATGGCACGCAGTTCCTGGTCAAGAAAATTTCAGTTAGGCTTATTTTGACTTGTTTTTCCCTTTGCCGTTAGACTTGTCATTCAATTCTGGTCAGAGAAACGACGAAATTTGCCAGTGTATTGACTTGACAAGAACACTTCTGGTCCCACAAGTCTTCGTAGAAAATCAGTTAAGTTCTAACTGCGTAAAGATAGTGGAGAAGTTTTCGTTGAGAAGTATATTTACGAGCAGCAATTGCCAGTGAGAGTAAATGAGAGTAATTGGAACTTTGGAAACTCTACCACTAAAATACTCCAAAACCAGTTGGTCTGCTGTAGGTCTCATCTCAGGATTTTCCAAACGACAGTCTTCTATAACTTTTCTTAATACACCACCCACTTCTTCGGGCAACTCCACTCTGTCCTCCTTCGTTATCAAGTTGTTTTGAATACCCTGTACACTGACAGAGTTTCTACCCTGCCACGGTGTATTTCCTGTTAACGTATAGGCTACTACTTGAGCATACGAGTAGATGTCAGCACGTAGATAAAAAAACTCGTCATCAAAGCCTGTGTGCTCTTCTTCCACAGTTTCATTTTCTGTTGTGTCTGTCAGTTCTGGGTGAAGAAAGCAGCAGTTTGTTTGTAATGCTAACATACTCATTCTTGATGAAAAACCTTTCATCACTTGTAATATTTCACTAGCTACTTGGAGGAAATTAAGTCATGAAGTGTAGGTTTTGACTTAGATGAAGGACGGGGGTGCATTGGGGTCTGGGGTCTATTAGAAACCGCAAAACCGTTGAAAAAAATCATCCAAAACCGCAAAAGCGTTAAAGAATTGGATCAAAACTACAAACCGCTTGCAAAACCATCAAAACTGATAAATTTTCACATACGAGTTATCAAAACTCTTACTGATCCGATACAGTGGTGACAAGTGGAACATACAAAGGATTTTGCGGCATTCAAGATCAGTGGTGGTGCATATTTGCCGCTCAGATTGAAGAGACACCGGAACCCAAATAGGAAAAAACTGAAAACCACATCGGATACCAAATCCAAAAACTCATTAGTGTTTTTTATGAATACCGAAAATGGAAAATACGTAACTGTAATGAACACCAAAACTGAAAAACCAAAGTTCTTTGGCACAAAAACCGAAAAAAATATCTAAAAGATAGCCAAAACCGAAAATCCCAATGCTCCCTTCATGAAGAAAGCTCATGGTGTGACAAAAATTCTGATCTTTCTGATCAAAGGGTTAATGTTACCTTCTACATTATACTCATCATCTGTGAAGTAATCATCCCACACTTCAGGTGCTGTCCAGCGCGCATGGAACAAAGACAGATCATTGCCACTCCTCTCAATTGTTCTTGATAAGCCAAAGTCTGCTAGTTTTACCCGCAAGCTTCTGATGTCCAACTTGATTAATTTATGATTTACAAATAAAGGAATAATCAGGATGAAATTTTTTGAATGTGTTTTAGAGATACTGATCGAGTTATTTAACAGCTTAAAAATAGTACGATAGAGCATCAAAGTTTTTCAATATTTTTTCAACTGGTCTATTTTTTATCTTCCGTTTTATATTCAATTTTTTCTTTTCCTAGCAAACAGGTCTCAAAAAGGTAATAAAATTCCAGTAAGAATGATTCTATAAACCCTTGGGTCTTTGCTGTGCTGCATATATCTAAATAATTTGAGAAAAAAATTAACTCATTTGCTGATTTTTTTTCATTTTTTCATTTTGATCAATTTCAACTAATTAATTAATCAATCATTTCTTTTCCCTTTTTATTATTTTTTTCATAAAACTACAGCCTGTCTTCTGTTTTTCTGACAAAAGTCTGAAACAGATGATTTCTACAGGAATCTCACCAGTATATTGTCAGGTTTTAAATCCCTGTGGCTTATTGGAGGATTCAAACTGTGTAGGTACATCAAGCCATTAGCCATTCCTCTACCAATGGTCCACACTTGACTTTTAGGAAGTCCCCTAGATTCTGGAGTTTTGTGATCCTCGACAAATCTGTACAAGTTCTTAGGAATGTACTCCATCACCAGAAAAGGGCATCCTGCTTTAAGGATGAATTTCTCATGTGAGATATCACACTCCAAAATGTTCATTCCTCTGAATGCAATAATGTTATCATGTCGAAGATCTCTGTGTATCAAAAATTTTAAATAATTTTAAAGAAGCTAGTAAGAGCTAATTTTCCAAAGAGGGGTTTTAAATTTGAATTGAATGTAACTGAGAGCAACTATAATAATCTGATAATCAATAGAATAATTAATAATGGTAATAGGACCAAGTGGAGTCCAATATGGTTTGTAATCATATGAGTGATAAACAAAATCTGTTGACCAAGAAGTGTGATTTGTTAATCATGAGTGTAATGATTACAGATAGAACTGGATGACATGAAGTCCTGTTACCAATTAATCAAAACTATGACAAAATTTGAGAAAGAAACTAGACAGTGGAGATAAGTTTTCATGAAAAAAACATAGTCAACTTGGTGAAATGGGAGGCAACAACACACATTAGTGACACGCTCTGTTCACTTACACAGGCATGACGTGTTAACTGTCCCTTTAGCTGTCCTATTACATCATCAAATTACAAGTATGATGTGTACACTTTCTTATTATTGCTCAGATCAGGCTGGTGATAACCAATCATGTTCTTGAGAATTTTGTTGTAACCAATCACATTCATGAGAATTTTGTTACAGTTTTGATTAAAAGCTTAGGAGGAGAAATGGAGAATGAATGGTTAGTGCGCTTAAGTACAGATCAAAAAATCCAAATTCAAGATGTGGCTGAGTCAATATGTTGTGCTCTTCAGCAAAACACTTTGTTCTCACAGTGCCTCTCTCCAACCAGAGTATACAAGTAAATAGGTACCAGCAAGTTAGTTGCCAGGGAAGCCTGATGAAATGCTGGGGGGGTGGGGGGGGGGGGGGGGTAACCTTGTAATGGATTTGCATCCCATCCAGATAAAGTAGTGAAACTCCTGGTTGCTTCATGGTAATTAGCAAACCAGGACAAGCTCCAGCTGGGTGAGCCACTTGGTGCAAGAACAAACTAAATGCATATATGGAAGACTGAAATAAAATGTATTTTGCAAATAAAATCACTCAACTTCATCAAAAGGTTTGAAGAGAGGTTACATATATTTTAAGCTAATGATTGTAACATTAAACTTTATAATTATCTAAGAAGGGTAGAAATGAGCGTGTTTAAAAGTTCACCTCAATAGATTTCCTTCTGTAAGCAGAGGTCTTGTTTCTTTAAGATTTTTTAACACCTTGACAGCAACATCATTCCCTTTAAGCTTAGCCTTATACACACTTGAAAATCCGCCTTCCCCTAGCCGCTCCCAGGCTGCCAGTTCATCCTGGCTTACTTTCCCAACAGTCCTCAAACCGGATGACTCTGCAACGAAAGTTGTGTTCAAAAGCCCATTCTGTTTATATATCAAATATTGACTTGCAGTCATAAATATTGTAAATGATCCCTTTATGCCCTAACATCAGTATGCATATTTTCTAAACTGTTCTCCGAACATTTCCTTCCTTTTCTGCCTGTCTCATGCACTGAACTCATCACCTTTCACTTAAATCACCAGGCTTAACATTTACCATCCTTATTTACGTCATCATTGCACAAAAGCATCACATTCAACATTCCAATCCTAGCAGTATATAGGAAGTTAGTCATTATGGAGCTTGTTATTTCCCTTTAAACTGTAAGAGTGACTAGCATTTAATTTCTCGTTATAATATCATCCCTGAATCACATGTTAAGGTCATGAGAATGAAGGAAATGATAACCAACACCAGGAAGCTTTTAATCAGTAAACAAATTCTCCTTGTCAGCACCCTAGGAAATGTAGAAAGAACAGTATGGAGAATATGTATAATGACATTAGGGGGAAAAGGGTTAAACTGCCAAGCCTGCCACGAGTCCTCTGTAGCTCAGTGGTAGAGCATCCAAAGTACATGTACTAATTGGGAGGTCATAGGTTCAACTCCCATTAGGATCCCTCTGAGTTCTTTTCCCTACAAGTATACCTGTGTTATTCACTGAAAACATTGACTTTAATTTCCTAAGATGTTGACAAGAAGAAATTTGTTTAAGAATCAAGAGCTTCTTCAGTTGGTGATAATTTCCTTTATTCTTGTGACCCAAATGTTTGATTCAGGGATGATATTGTAAGGAGAAATTAGATGCTCGTCACTATTTGGGGTCAATTGGTTAATTATGAGTGTAACTAGCGCAACAGTAAAGAAAAGAATGGTGATATTTTGACAAATAGTAAGTACAATATACAGGTATTTCCCATCTGCATCTACAGGAAGCTTTTATTTTTGCTTCTAGAAACTTAGGATTGTTTTTTTTAGACCCTTTCTCTGTGCCAGGTTGTTGTTTGTTTTTTTGGTTCTTTCATCAAGTTAGCATCAAACACTTTTGGCAAACTTCAGTATTTCATAGAACACTGAAAAAATATAATTCAAATCTGACCAGAGTATGCTGACTACCTGATCTGGTGGGGAAAATTCAATATACATCAAACATATCTAAAAGATAAGATTGGAACAACATGATTTGAGTTGTTCCATTCAAAAGCATACTTCCGAAAAACCAACAACAGGTCAACAACAACAGATCAACAACAACAGGTCAACAACAACAGATCAACAACAACAGATCAGCAACAACAGATCAACAACAACAGCTCAACAACAGGGGCAAAAACAGCCCCATACTTTATTATGCACACATATATGGGGCTTCATTATTCAGTGTATCACCATTAAGATGTGCATGCATAATGAGGAATGGGCTGTCTGGAAATATTTCCTAATTTGATGTAATCCCTGCTTAAACTGTCGATTTATCTTTTTGATGAACAAACTTTACTCAGAAGCGACCAAACAAACCCTTAACAATTTTATAAGACCTGAGGGAAAAACGGGCGAAGTAAGAAACGATGGTTTTACTTTACGAAGAAATGGAAAATAACAATAAAATTATAAACATGTATACCTTCTTCGTTGCACGAGGCTTTTATCAGATCTATATTCTTGTTTACTTGACATAAGATGTGTCGAACTTGCTCGTTTGTCACCAAGTCACTTCCGGCCTCGAGAGAGCTAATTGCAACACAAATTTGTTTCTGAATTTTGCCTAACAACTCCAGCCTTTTTCTTGCTATTTCATCTAGGGATAAGTTTGCAAAATCATCTCGGACATCCGCCATGGTACACTTCAAGCTCAGGTGTCACATTTCTTAAACATTCGTGGAAAAGTTTGTCGTAATGGAACTGATAGTGGGTGCGTTCATCATGGTGACAAGGTATCCCATGAGGGGATTCCCCTTAAATCTTTCCACGATAGTACACTCGATTCCGTTGGTGCCTTTTCCAGAGCATTTCCAAATTAGGACTTTGGCTAACAACCAATCACATGTTACGTACTAATGTATTATAATGCGAAACATATCATACATTTTCTTTGCTACTAATAAGCCGACCAGAGTTGGCAATCTGTGGTAGAGATTTTTGTGAGTGTTAAATCATTTTTCTTCTTAATATTTCCCAGTTCTTATAATTTAGTTATACTCTTACATTTACTTTTTACGCTTGATAACACTTCCGAGTTCTTCCTGACTATTATGGCGCGAATTGGAACGTACGTTGGCTTTACATAATTTATTTTTAGAATTTCGGCTAGGAAATCACATTGAAAGGCTTCAAATTGCCACCTTTTCTCTCGACGATGCGATTGAATGAGCATTAACGATGAACGGAAACTGCCGAAATCGTTTGGTCGATCGTTCGGTGTAAGAACGAAGTCAAACACAAGCGTGATCTGTCTGTGGCAGATAATTGCTTCCATCGGGTTGCAATTGATCAATAAAGAACGGCTAATACAATTTTGAATGCCTCGTGATTGTATCTCGTGATTGTTTCTATGCTAAGAGTGTAGAGCCTTGGATTTTGCAATTGTTGTCTTGTCTATGGTGAAAATGAAAGCCTTCTACCGAGCTCATACAACACTGTGTAGAGATCTGAAAATGTTTGTATGATCATTTTATGCATTCAAAGGGAACAGAAGAAATGATTCTGTGGTACTCTAAGCTAATGAAATCTAACAGTTATCCAATTATTTGTTATGAAATCGTCCACTAATTCCTAATTTCTTCTTTTTTTCAAGGAAGAGTGAATGATCTGTCCATAATGGATGAAGATGATATGGGAAGAAGGTACCAACAGGGCAGTAGCATTTCATACTCAGTTTGTGGTTTGCCTCATTGCTTTTAGGAAAGTGTGCAGTCAACTCTCACATTTCATTTTGTCATGTCTATCATTTAACTCTTTCACTCCCAAGATCTCATTTGTAATTCTCTTCACTGTCTGCCGTACAATTCTCATGATAATAGTTGGGAGAATTTGGTATGGGATCAGCCAACTATCCTCTTAATAATTATTTTCTTTATTCTCATTACTTTCTGCTTGATGTTGATAATGTGTGGAGGAGTCGTGTCTTAGTCACTCTTTGGAGTCAACTCTTTCACTCCTTTGAGTGACTAAGAAGTACCAAATTTTCCTAACTAAATTCATTAGAATTTTAGGGTAGATAGTAAGGAGAATTACCAATGAGGTCCTGGGAATGAATGAATTAAAGGATTTTTAGCACAATGATTTATTATTTTATGATTTAAATAAACTATGATCAATTTATTATGGTATGATGGAGACACTTAAATCTCATGTAAAGTTTCACATATTTAATGAATATTATAGAATGATTTAGCTGTTTTGACTGTTTCACTCTTTTTGTTTCTGATTACATGTACACATAGCTGGAGTGGAGGTTCATCCTCTTCTGAAGGGTTATTACAAAGGCAGTTGTCTGATAGAAACATAGACCCCATAGTTAAAATGTAATTCCTGGTGAGTGCTATATCCATAAGTCTTTTTGAAAAAGATGGAGTTGGATTGTCACAATTGTAAATAATACAAAACCAAATTGAATCTGCCATGGTTAGTAATCAGAAATCTGCCTAATAGAACCTTTTCATGCCTGAGGTTCACTTTATGTTTGCTCTAATGAGGTACAAAGGAGTTTTTCATAGTCCTGGCCCATACATGTGAAAAGACAAAAATAAACCATCTTTCTTTATTTCATCACCAAGCTTGAAAATTCACCATCTTTTTTATTCTATCTATACACAGAACACTTTTGGCAATGCTGATCTTTACTGTATGCAGAATGTCTGTTATACAGAATATATGAATCTTGTAATGACTTAGCTCACTGTAGAGTCTCTGTGGCTCAGTGGTTGTGTATCTGAGCAAAGCATTCCTAAGGGATGAGGCACTTAGAAATTTTTCATTCTCCCACTTTCATGGCAAAACCAAAAAGAAACTTTTTCTACTTCAATATCAGGGGAAAAACACATCAACTTTTGTATTCGATCTGATTTACTGGTAGATATATTTTCAAGAGAAATGTATTAAATACAATAAGAAAAAAAATGTTCACTCTTTGATTTCAAATTTAAGATTGTACTGATAATTATAATACCATCCTTCTCTCTTTTGGATGGTACTGAGAATATGGGAGGGATATGCAATAATGTAGAGTTGAGAAATGG